TTCCTTCCTCTTCCTATTTTTCATTGTTGGTTATGACTTTTAGTATTGTAGTTTTACATACTATTATGAATAGCTAATTTGTTATCTAGGATTTTGATAGAACCTTTTGTAGGAAAATTCTTGTTATGTTTTTATATAATTGAGCCGTTGGATTTCTCTATTTGTTCAACTACGTATTGATTGTTGTTGATTGAATGGCCATCGATTGACTGTGCCTATTTATTATGTGTTGCTTGAGAAAGGATACATATTTAGGTGGTTGTTGAACAACGTCACTCCTAACGTGTGTGAGAAATCAATACAGCGGGTTTAAAGGCAGGTTTAGAAATAACAAAGCCTTGACGTGGTCATAGTGAACGGTTAGATAAAGCCAACTAGCGTAGTTCGAGAGAATATGTCTAGTAAATTATTGTAGTTGCTCGAGAGAGAATTACGACACCTAAAGTGCTCACGATCAGTAGAGAATACATTGGCAAAATTGAAGGGAACATAGCTAGAAGGATTCCGACAATTGGGGAAATCATAACTCTAGACCTCTTTAATTTAGTCTCCAACCCTTTGTCTCGTTAGTTGATAATTTTACCACTTTGTAGTATTTGCTAGTTAATTAGTTAGAAATATAAATCTCAATCTTTATAATTTAGAAAATTGTTCAAACTTGTCTTCTTAGTGATATTAAACAGATATAGCTAAGCCTTAATTCTCTGTGGGATTCGACTCCGGACTTTTAAACCGGATTATATTTTGCAGGCGACCGCTTTATCTTTTTAGGATTATAGTTGAGCCGTGATCACGGAGTAATCCTATAATGACAATCTACTGTCGACTCACGTTTTTTATTTTGATAATTCCAATTCCTACTTTGACTGGAGCTTCTTTATAATAAGTTGTGGATAACATCCCCTCTATTGGATATCATTAATCTTCCCGTGTAGAAAACACAATAATGGACGTTCATTTACTTTTCTCTTGCATAAAAAAGGAAGTGAGAAGGACCAAATATATCCTTCTACTTTTGTAATATTGTCTATATTTAATTTTCGTTTATATTATTTAGCTAATTTATTTTAACGTTGTACTATTTCGGGTCAAATTTACCTTTTACCATTAGCAAACTTTCAAAAATTATCCTTCAATCCGTCAATCTCCCAAATTATTTTAATTAAGTCACTTATTTTTTTCCTTGATCCACTATTTTTCAAAATAATTGGTATTTACCTGCTTTCTTAATTGGAAAAAAATACGAAGAAAGAAATATCAAAATAATATACGGTTAGTGAACAAATTATCATAAATTGAAGATCTAAATTAGGTAGCTTGTCTAAATTCCAAAAGTATTTATGTCACGACCCAATTTCTCCTATAGGTCGTGATGGCACCAACGTTACCGCTAGGCAAGCCAACAATGAACTACCGTGTGATTATTTCTTTTAACAATTAGAAATGGTTGATCTTGAATTTATTTTGATAAAAAAAGGTGTAAAACTAAATAACATGAGATATAGACAGTTTAAAAGGCAGATGAGATGAAATAATAATCAAAAAAATCACCAAGTGTCTACTAGCATGATCTCCAAAATCTGGTGTCACAAGTGTATGAGTGTTTGCTCCCAAACGTAACCGCAAGTATACGTGGTCGACAAGTAATATAATGATAAGTTGAGTGTCGAACCCACAGAGACTTGTGGTAAACTACTCACAGAATTACTAAAATTGTTATTCAGTACAGCTAAATCAAAGTCCAAAATATGATTGTACTATACTACAAATTCTAAGTAACAACTAAATTATCAACTAACGAGTTGATTGTTGTGTATTCAGTAGAGACAAGTATTCCAGAGTTTGTGATCGATTCACCATTCGATTGTGTTCTAATTAACTCTCCCTTTCATTATAATTCACCCATGGTTGCTAATTAATCGATAAATGCTCTCATAGCCTTCTCCAGAAGTACTACTCACATATTCTCATAGATTAACGCTTATATTCCTATGGAATCAATCTATTAAGAACGCATTAAGATACGATATTTAATTAAGCACGGTGACTAGGTATATTCCTATCCTAACCACAAATCCGGCTCCCCTAAGGGTTAAGATCATGCTCTCTTCAATTCTTCTCTAATCTAAACATGGCTTTCCCAGCATAGCATAGATAGTAAATGAGACCTAACTGTTGGCCAGACAATTAAGCAATTAAACGCAGAATTGAAGAAACAACCATAGTATTGGTGAATTATAATCAAGGTCAAGCTAATATCAAACAACAATATTCATGGCTAAATTCACAACCCTAGAACAATGGGTGTTTAGCCACTCATGATATAATCAAACAATTGCATGATTGTTGAAATCAATTGAAAATACTGAAAAAATGAAGAAAACTGAGAATTCTCCGCTTCCTCACGATCCCGTGTGTGTTTTTACTCCAAAGTGGCGTCCTCCCCTTTTCTTGGCCGACTTCCTCCGTTTAATATAGGGTTTAGGGCTTAAAATCTCGTGTTTTGCACTTTGGTCCCTGGAGTTTACGCGTCCTGCGCGTCCTATATCGCGGTTACGCCAGGACCGGGCCAGAGTGGCCTTCAGAATCTGCAGCAGTATTCTGCCGCGGTCCTACCGCGGTTATGCCCGACAGCGGCCATAGTGGCCTTCAGTTTTGGTTTGTCCTTCGCTTGGTGCACTTTGTGGATATTGTATGATTGGCCTCTCTTTTCTCCGTAATTGATCCCAAAAGTAATTGTCAACAAAACATTCTTTTTATTGGGAATATAGCCTGCAAAGCATGAAAAGCACTAATCAGAGCATTTTGTTATCACTTTTTACCGCAAAAGCTATACACAAATGTGGTTCTTTAGGGTCTAATTATAGTCTTTTACCTATTATCACCTATCATCAACACCCCACACTTAAACGTTGCTCGTCCTCGAGCAATTGGACAATCTCATAAACCCCCCAACTACGTACAAGTATCAATTATAGAGGAGTACTTTCACTTTTAACCACACACTATACCCTTGACTATAATCAATATCGGCACACAAGCATCAACACACAAAATTTCACATTCTTCCCGTTTAAGCATACCCAAGTAAAATATTTCAATTCAATAAATTCCAACAACCTATTTGTCACTGCCCAACCTCAACAATCGACTTGCAACCACTAAGCACCCTCAATTCATGCACTTACCCAACAAGAAAGTTTACAACATTACCAATCATTCATGAGATCATGTGCCCTCACCAACAAATGGAAGAATGAGTATAAATTGGTCCACACATTCAAATGTAATTTTGAATATAATTTAAGGACATCACACAATTGAACAAAATTCACTCACTCTCACAAAGAATTCATATGCATCCCGTGGTCGTACCATAAGCTTGCCCGTAGTTTATATCTCTACTAATTTAAGCTAGCCAAATCTAGAATCAATTAGGACTTTTAGGTTGTAATGTAGGCTAAGGGACGGGTAGGATATATTTAGAAATAGTGACTCACCCTCCTAAGCACTTTAATACACTACATTTACAATTCAAGCTCATATTCTTCTCAACCAACCCACTTGCCACATACAACATAGCCCTCTTTTCAATTAAGCACTTTTCTATTTTTCACTAGCACAACTCAATAAGAATTGGAGGTGTTTTTTTTTTATATACATTCACTATCATTTTTCTTTTCTTTTCTCCACACACTCTATACAATAAAGTTCATCGGCTAGTGACCTTTAATTTCAACTTTAGTGCACCAACGGGCCCTTCCATGGTTCCACTCAAATGATGCTCCCCAATATCTATCCTTACTTCTTTTAGCGACTAAGTGTCTTAGGAGGTACATGTTCAATCAGTATCAAATTAAGAACAAAATAAGGGTATGGCTTGTAATGTGGGTGCCAAAGAAAGGTCTATAGGCTCAAAGGGGCTAGCAACGGAAAATTTATTTTTATGTGACAAGCACATCCATGATCAAGCAAGAAAATGCCTATGTCATCTCCTAGATTAGCACAACTTACAATTTCGCTTCAATTAACACACGGGGCAAGTTCTAGACTATATAGGATAGCACAGAAAATCACAAATCCTCACACACACGTTGCACATGACTCAATCAAGACGGTTCTATTCAACTCTCAAGTCAAGCAAGCACACATAATTGAGGAATTTAAGCAATATTGCACTATGTGGCATACAAGTCAAACATCTGAGAAAAGGCGTCACAAAATAGGCTATTTACTTTACTCAGGCTTCACAATTCAAACCAAGTACACGGGAAAACAGAATGTATGTCATAGCCTAATGAGCCAGCATCAATCATGTCAATGAGTATCTCAGAACGACTCAATTTCTTCCTAAACTCCTCCTAAAAAGAAATTAAAATGCCCGGTTCGAGCTACATCCTTGGAAAAGAACCGGTGCCTAAAGAAAAACCAAGGAATACTACCTAGCTATTACAAAAAAAAAAAAAAAAAAAAAATCTTTTTTGGTTTTTTTATATCGGACTTTTATCCCTCAAGAAAATTGTCCAAAAGATCCATCGTCGGGAAAAGTCCGAACTTTTTCACATTTTTTTTTCAATTTTCGTTTTTTTTTAATTTTTAAACCTAGACTGTGTCTACTACGAGTTCTAAAAGAAAAACTAAAAAAATAGTTTTATACAATTACACTTCAGAAAGTAGTTTCCCCACCCCACACTTATATTATGCATAGTCCTCGATGCATGATCATAGAGAAATATTAAAACACGGGTGAGAAATACTCCCAGAGACCCTCTCGGGCCTAGCTCGGACATGATCCTCAATAGTAAGGGTCGGGACGACCCCACACTTAAGCTCAAACATGCTCCTCAGCTTCAACTTTGGGTACTCAGACTTCCCCTACTCTGTAAAACAAAAACAACACAACACTTGACACTAAAAAATCAATAACTAAAAGATATACATGTTGAGTTGCCTCCCAACCAGCGCCTGATTTAACGTCGCGGCACGACGCAGAGTCTCGCTTACTCATCAGCGAGTACAACCTTGGTCTTTTCACGATCAATCATTCCTCCCCAGTAATGCTTGACTCTATGACCATTCACTAAGAATATCCTCTCGCCATTTAAAGGTCGTAGCTCGATTGCACCATAAGGGGTGACTCTCACCACCTCAAAAGGACCTGACCATCTCGACTTTAGCTTCCCAGGGAACAGTCGCAGTCTAGAATTGAATAACAATACCTGTTGGCCTGGCTCAAAGTGACGTGGCTTGATATGCTTGTCATGCCATCGTTTGGTCTTTCCTTTATATAGCTTGGCATTTTCATAAGAGTGCAACCTGAACTCGTCTAACTCATTCAACTGCATAAGTCTTTTCTCACCTGCGGCTTCAAGGTCCATGTTCAGCTTCTTAATGGCCCAATATGCTTTGTGTTCGAGCTCAACGGGCAAGTGGCAGGCCTTCCCATAAACCAGCTTGTAAGGGGACGCTCCAATTGGTGTTTTATATGCAGTCCTATACGCCCATAGGGCATCATCCAACTTTGCAGCCCAATCCTTCCTATTCACACTTACCGTCTTCTCTAATATTTGCTTGATTTCTCGGTTTGACACCTCAGCTTGCCCACTTGTCTGCGGATGATATGTTGTAGCAACCTTGTGGCGAACTCCATATTTAGCAAGAAGGTTATTCAACAATCGATTGCAAAAATGAGTCCCTTCATCACTGATTAAGGCCCGTGGAGTCCCAAATCTCGAGAATATGTTCTTTTTCACAAAAACAGCTACCACCATGGCATCATTGGTTGGCAAAGCAGTTGCCTCCACCTATTTTGACACGTAGTCAACGGCTAGCAAAATGTATTTGTTTCCTCTGGACGGTGGAAATGGTCCCATAAAATCTATCCCCCACACATCAAAAAGCTCAACTTCTAGAATATTTTTCAAAGGCATCTCATGCTTCCTTGTGATTGTTCCCGTTCTCTGACATTGGTCACACTTCTTAACGAATGCATGCGCATCCTTGAATAAGGTTGGCCAAAAGAGACCGGATTGTAACACCTTTGCAGCTGTTCTATCTCCTCCATGATGGCCCCCATAAGGTGATGCGTGACAATCATACAACACTAATTCCACCTCTTTTTCAGGAATGCATCTCCTCATCAACTGATCAGCACATTGCTTGAACAAATAGGGCTCATCCCAGTAATAGAAGTTCACATCATGTAAGAACCGCTTTCTAGCTTCAGATTGGATTTCGGGGGGTAGTACTCCACTCACAAGATAATTCACATAGTCTGCATACCATGGGGGAGAGTTTTGGGTTATAGCAAAAAGTTTCTCATCAGGGAACACTTCTTTAATTTGGCCACCCTCCTCCACGTGATCATGATTTTCCAACCGTGATAGATGATCAGCTACTTGGTTCTCTGTCCCCTTTCGATCTCGTATTTCAACATCAAATTCCTGCAGCAACAAAACCCAGCGCATCAAACGAGCTTTGGATTCCCTTTTTGTAAACAAATACCTGATTGCTGCATGGTCCGTATGAACTATGACTTTTGTTCCCACCAAGTATGCCCGGAATTTCTCAAAGGCCCACACAACGGCTAACAACTCCTTCTCAGTGGTGGTGTAATTCTGCTGTGCATCATCAAGAGTCTTACTCGCATAGTAGATGGAATAAAACATCTTGTACTTCCTCCGGCCTAGCACTGCCCCAATAGCAAGGTCACTCGCATCACACATAAGTTCAAATGGTAGAGACCAATCAGGTGCCACAATAATGGGGGCGGTCACCAACTTCTTTTTAAGTTCCTCAAATGCGTCGAGGCAAGAATCATCAAAATTGAAAGAGACATCTTTTTCAAGCAGCCTGAACAAGGGAGTGGCAATTTTTGAAAAATCTTTAATAAAGCGCCGATAGAAACCCGCGTGTCCCAAGAAACTCCGGACACCCTTCACTGAGATAGGTGGAGGTAATTTTGCAACTGCCTCCACCTTCGCTTTATCAACTTCAATGCCGCTCCTAGATACTCTGTGACCCAACACGATGCCCTCTTGTACCATAAAATGGCACTTTTCCCAATTTAGTACCAGATTTATTTCTTCACAACGGGCCAGCACCTTGCTTAAATTCCTCAAGCAATCATCATAAAAAGACCCAAAAACTGAAAAATCATCCATAAACACTTCCACGAATATTTCCACCATGTCGGTGAAAATAGCCATCATGCATCTCTAGAAAGTGGCTGGTGCATTACAAATACCGAATGGCATTCGCTTGAAGGCAAAGGTGCCATAAGGACAAGTAAAAGTAGTCTTCTCCTGATCCTCTGGGCATATGACAATTTGATTGTATCCTGAATAACCATCAAGGAAGCAGTAATATTCATGCCCGGCTAACCTGTCTAGCATTTGGTCGGTGAATGGGAGTGGGAAGTGATCCTTGCGAGTTGCCTTATTGAGCCTTCTATAATCAATGCAGACTCTCCAGCCCGTAACAGTGCGAGTGGGGATTAGCTCATTCTTCTCGTTCTCAACTACAGTCACTCCACCCTTTTTAGGCACTCATTGAACCGGGCTTACCAAGTTGCTATCAGAAATAGGAAAAATGATACCTGCATCGAGCAACTTGATTACTTCCTTTTTCACCACCTCCTTCATAATGGGATTAATCTCCTTTGCTGCTCTACACTGGGGAGGTGTCCGTCCTCTAGAAAGATTTTATGCATGCAAAACGATGGACTAATGCCCTTGATGTCAGCTATAGTCCACCCAATGGCCCTTTTATGCTTGCGGAGGACTCTGAGCAATTTTTCTTCTTGAGTGCTGGTCAAGCTGGATGAAATAATCACGGGCAGTGTCTCTGAGTTCCCCAAATAAGCATAGCGCATATGCGCTGGAAGTGGCTTGAGTTCTAACTTCAGAGCCTCTTCAATAGATGGCCTGGGGAGGGTCAGAGTGACAGGCCTATCCAATTCTTCAAATTTTCTAACCCCATGTACATAACAGCAGGACATATCCAACACTTGCTCAATTTCTCCCATCCTTTCATCTTCACCATTTTCTACGTCCCCAATCAATACACGTTCAACAGGATCTGCAGGGCTCATATAAGGTACTAACGACGTGGCATCACCTTCTACCACAGAGATCATGGACAACTCTTCATAGTGGGCTGGTAACTTGAGTGCTCTATAAACGTTGAAGACCTCCACTCGATCACCCACTCTCATCGTCATCTTTCCTTCACAAACATCAATAATAGCTCGGCCCGTGGCTAAGAATGGACGCCCCAAAATAAATGGGACTTCCTGATCAGGCTCGTAATCCAGGATGATGAAATCAGCTGGGAATATAAAAGACCCCACTTGGACAAGCACATCTTCAATTACTCCCTCAGGATGAGCAAGGGAGCGGTCAGCTAACTGTAAGATAACTGTGGTTGGGCGTGGTTCACCCAACCCCAACTGTCTGAATATAGATAGCGGCATCAAATTTATGCTTGCTCCAAGGTCACATAGAGCTCGCCCAACAGCATATTTACCAATCGTGATTTGGATAGTGAAACTACCTGGATCCTTCAATTTCTGAGGTAACTTGCCTTGAATTCTGGAACTGCACTCCTCAGTGAGTGCCACAGTCTCGAACTCGGTCAGCCTCCTTTTATTCGCCACAATGTCCTTGATGTATTTTGCATATTTAGGTACTTCCTGTAAGATGTCAACCAATGGAATATTAATTTGTACCTGCTTCAAGATATCAAGAAACTTCTTATATGTGGCATTATCTCGCAATTTCTGCAGTCTTTGAGGGAATGGAGGTGGTGTCCTTGCAACCAATTGTGGGGATTGCTCAGCCACCGCCTCTCTAGCCGGTTTCTCTGGCTCCTTGGCTTTCTCTGATGTTGATTCTACAGTGGTTGGCCTGTCATTAAAAGTCACCTGTTTCCTCTTTTTAGATAGAACCTCCTCTAGTTGTCTCCCATTCCTCAACGACACAGCATTAAGGGCCGCCCTAGGATTGGCTTCAGTGTCACTTGGAAGAGCTCCCGCTGGTCTAGTGTTTTGAGCACTAGCAAGCTGTCCCATTTGACGCTCCAAATTTCTCACTGTTGTGGTGAGGGCTTGCTGTTCAGCCATCACTTTCTGAGAGAGAGATTGCTGTTCAGCCATCACTTTTTTAACATGTCTTCAAGGTGACTTGTAGGATTCACTTGTTGTTCAACCTGAGGTGGTCTATATTGCTGTTGAGGTGCTTGAGGCCTGTATTGATTCTGAGTGCCCTGGTTTCCACCCCAAGAGAAGTTTGGGTGGTTCCTCCAGTTGGGATTGTAAGTGTTCCCATATTGGTTTGTTGGCCCCTGTTTGAATTACCCACAAAGCAGATAGACTCTGGGTTTGCGGGGCATATGTCGCTCGTGTGCCCTTCTCCACATATTTCACAAAAAGCCTGAACCTGTTGTACCGGTTGTGTTTGTTGCTTGTTGATACTCAAGTTCATCTGGTTCACTTGATTGGCCAGTGTAGCAATCTGCGCTGATAATGCTGAGACGACATCTAACTCAAGAACCACTGCAGACTTTTGCACTGTGTGCCTGCCCATCTCTCCTTGCCAATCCGGATTGCTCTTGGAGAATTTGTTCAATAATGCATATATCTCGTCAAAGCTTTTCTCCAACACCTGACCCCCAGCTGCAGCATCTACCACGATCTTTGTTTCTTGAACGTGTGAGCTAACACTTCATTCGTCTGATTGTGATGAGGACAGTCTCTGAGTATCCCCTTGAACCTTTCCCAAGCTGAGTATAAAGATTCACCTGCTTTCTGTTTGAAGGCCACTATTTCACTTCGGATCTTTGCAGTTTTGCCTGAAGGAAAAAACCTTGCTAGAAATTTTCTCGCCAAATCATTCCATGTTGTAATGGAGTTAGCTGGTTCTGCCTTTAGCCATCGCTTAGCCTCACCCAATAGAGAGAATGGAAAAAGTGTGAGCCTCACATAATCTGGAGTGACCCCGTTAGTGATATAAGTATCACTAATCTCCAAGAAGTTCAGAATATGCTGCTGCGGATCCTTATGTGGAAGACCCATAAATTGCCCGTTCGCATGAAGTAACTGAATCATGCTCTGTTTCAGCTCAAAATGCCCAGTGATCCTAGGCTTCACGATACTGGAGGTGACATTGGCAATGCTGGGCATTGCCACCTCCTGAAAAGCCATAGGTTGCTCCTCTGCCATGTTCACAGAAAATTGAACAAGTGCCTGAATATTATTTGTGTCCTTTGCTTCCCTCAACCTCCTGTGAAATGTTCTCTCAGGTTTAGGATCAAAGCCTTGAAGTCTGTCCTGGCTTCTTACCCTACGCATTCAATCAAAGTTCCTGAGATCTGAGCAACAATCAAGTAACGTTAGACTAGACGAAATAAGCAATTAAAGCAAAAACTAGCAAGTAGTTAATATTCAAGTCCCCGGCAACGGCGCCAAAAACTTGTTGCTCCCAAACGCACACGCAAGTATACGTGGTCGACGAGTAATATAATGATAAGTTGAGTGTCGAACCCACAGAGACTTGTATAAACTACTCACGGAATTACTAAAATTGTTATTCAGTCCAGCTAAAATCAAAGTCCAATAATATGATTGTACTATACTACAATTCTAAGTAACAACTAAATTATCAAGTAACAAATTGATTGTTGTGTATTCAGTAGAGACAAGTATTCCAGGGTTGTGATCGATTCACCATTCGTATTGTGTTCTAATTAACTCTCCCTTTCATAATTCACCCATGGTTGCTAATTAATCGATAAATGCTCTCATAGCCTTCTCCCGGAGTACTACTCATCTATTCTCAATAGATTAACGCCTATATTCCTATGGAATCACTATTAAGAACGCATTAAGATTACGATATTTAATTAAGCACGGTGACTAGGTATATTCCTATCCTAACCACAAATCCGCTCCCCCTAAGGGTTAAGATCATGCTCTCTTTAATTCTTCTCTAATCTAAACATGGCTTTCCCAAGCATAGCATAGATAGTAAATAGAACCTAACTGTTGGCCAGACGATTAAGCAATTAAACGCAGAATTGAAGAAACAACCATATATTGGTGAATTATAATCAAGGTCAAGCTAATATCAAACAACAATATTCATGGCTAAATCACAACCCCAGAACAATGGGTGTTTAGCCACTCATGATGTAATCAAACAATTCATGATTGTTGAATCAATTGAAAATACTTGAAAAAGATGAAGAAAACTGAGAATTCTCCGCTTCCTCACGATCCCGTGTGTGTTTTTACTCCAAAGTGGCGTCCTCCCCTTTTCTTGGCCGACTTCCTCCGTTTAATATACGGTTTAGGGCTTAAAATCCCGTGTTTTGCACTTTGGTCCCTGAAGTTTACGCGTCCTGCCGCGGTCCTACCGCGGTTACGCTAGGACCGCGGCCAGAATGGCCTTCAGAATCTGCAGCAGTATTCTGCCGCGGTCCTACCGCGGTTATGCCCGGACAGCGGCCAGAGTGGCCTTCAGTTCTGGTTTTGTCCCTTCGCTTGGTGCACTTTGTGGATATTGTATGATTGGCCTCCTTTTCTCCGTAATTGATCCCAAAAGTACTCCACAGACTTCTTTTATTGGATATAGCCTGCAAAGCATGAGAAGCACTAATCAGAGCATTTTGTTATCACTTTTTACCGCAAAAGCTATACACAAATGTGGTTCTTTAGGGCGTAATTATAGTCTAATTTACCTATTATCACCTATCATCAACGAGCTACTAGTAGAATATACAAAAAATACTACACTACTGTCTGAAGTGAAATAGATAGAAAGTAAAAGCAAAAGAAAGATTTCGGGTGTTGTAGAACACGCTCGGAAGGCAGCTCACCGCAGAGTCTCGTGGAATCAAGGATGCGCGCCGAACTGATAACCAGATACACCTGTCTCAGATCCTGCACGATTAGTGCAGAAGTGTAGCGTGAGTACATAAACAACATGTACCCAGTAAGTATCTAGTCTAACCTCGAAGAAGTAGTGAGGAGGGGTCGATTTCGACACTTATTATGGGCTAACAATAAAATACTGAAATTATAATTAAGCATGAGCTACATAAATGAAGTTGAAAACTCAATAACAAGAAATAAATAAATAATTCTTTCACTAATAGTAAATCCCAATTCAATTTCCATCATTTAACAACTTAATCTCTCAAGCTGATGAAACAATATCAAGTATAATTGAGTTCCAAGTATTGTTACGCACGAATTATGCCGAGGACGTACGGCCCGATCCAAACATAAATATATAAACTGTGTACATTGCCTAGAGTCGAACGACACGAATCATAGATGCATCTATTAACCTGCCGAGGCGAACGCCCCCCTCCCATGAGAGTAGTGAAATTTACCTCGCTCGCGGAAAATACTTACGACGCGAGTGAACATAAATTTCTCAAAGTTATCATAATATTCTTCAATTCTTTCCAAAAATAAGGAATCTAAACTGGATACTTTAAATCTTGAAATACTCAATCTCAGCTCTATTGAAGGCAATTAATAAGCATAATCAAATAATTGTGTCAACAAAGCATATGTAAACCTAAGACTACCTGAACATCACATGAAATATAGCTACGCACAGACTCTCGTCACCCAGTGCGTACGTAACTCCCCACACAAGTAATTCACAACAAAACATACCTAAGGGAATGAGTTCCCTCTTAAAAGGTTAGAAAAGAAACTTACCTCGATCTCAAGTTCACTTTTAGTCCACAAATGTGCTTTAAACCCTCAACTCGGTGCCAAACGGCTCGAAACTAGTCAATACATGTTCAAAAGTTTATATCCTAACTATCAAAGTGATTACCCAACCCCAATTGAAGAATTCCTAAAATTCACCCGCGGGACCACGTGCCCGAATTCCGGAAATTTTTGAAGAAAGTTATCACCCATAACCTCACAAACTCAAATATATGATTTTCACTAAATTCCATAACCATTTTCGTGGTTAAATCCCATTTTTATCGAAAATCTAAGTTTTTCATCTAAACCCATGATTTCACAAATTTTACAAGTTAATCTACCCACAATCTATGTAATTAACTCACATTGTGTAGAAATTACTTACCTCAAAGTGTTGGGTGAAAAACCCCTCTCTAAGAGCTCCAAAAATCGCCCAAGAAATGAAATAAATGAGCTCAAAATGCCTAAGTCCCGAATTAATTGAGGTTTTGCCTTCTGTGATTTTCGCACCCGCAATAAAATAGCCGCACCCGCGGTTTTGCTTCTGCGGACAAAACCACGCAGGTGCGGACCAAGGCCAAGTTGACCCCCTTCGCTTCTGCGCCCAACTGGTTGCGCCTGCAAGCCTGCGCCGATAAAATCGCACTTGCGATGCTGCCCGCGTCTGCGGTGGCTTCATTCGCACCTGCGCCTTCGCAGGTGCAGTCCTCGGCTCGCTTCTGTAGTCACTGGGCTGCCCCTTGCTGGTCCGTTTCTGCGAACTCGCACCTGCGGCTTGCCAAGCGCAGGTGCGATTGCACCAAAAGCTGAGAGCTTCAGCTGTTGCTCCCAAGTTCCAAACTTGGTCCGAGCCTCGTCCGATTAACACTCGGAGCCCCGTCCAAGCATACCAACAAGTTTGAAATCATAAAATGGACACACTAGAACCCTCAGAACGAATAAAACAACATTAAAACTAAGAATCATACCTCCAAACCAAATCGAATCAACTTAAGAACTTCAAGTTCTTCAAACTTACGCCGAACGCGCCGAAACATACTTAAACTACTCGGAATGACACCAAATTTTGTGTGCAAGTCTTAAATCACCATACGAAACTATTTTCAGGCTCGGAATCTCAATTGGACCTTGATAACACCAAATCCTACTTCAAACCAAAATTAAAGAACTTAAAAACCTTCAAAGAGCCAACTTACACTATTAAGCGCTGAAATGCTCCCGGGTCGTCTAAACCCGATTCGAACATACACTCAAGTCCAAAATCATCATACGAACCTGTTGGAACCGTCCAATCCCGATTTTGAGGTCGTTTACACAACTGAAGTCAAACTTAGCTTTTTAAAGCCAAACTAAGGAACCAAGTGTTCCGATTTCAACCCGAACACTTCGAAATCCTGAACCAACCATCCTGCTAATCATAAGACAGT